CAACAAATGCTATTCAAGCCATTTTGAAATATTTCATTCACGATTAACTTGAAGAAATTATGTTTCAATTAAAATATAGTCATGTACGAAGTTATACAAGTGAAAAACTTGCAATAATTTAGATTACCACTTTGAAACACAAACAATCATGCTAATATTCGTATTGAAGTGTAGCAAAAGAGCGTATTAGGAAATATTAATTAAGGTCCAAATTTATGCAACAAAATATACGTATGTTTCTTTTTAATTGGTTTATGGTATTAATTTACTGAAAATTACTAAATCGTATTTCCTTTAACGTTAACTAAAGAGAATTTATGATAATAAGTATATTTCAATATTTGCAATAGATTTCTGTAATTCTACACACATGCAGTTGTTTTTTTTTATTTAACCCCACCCACCGTCCCTAAAAATGGAAAAAGTACTTGAAAACAATAAAAATACATGAAAAAAGGAATAAATGCTGCATTAAATGACATGAAAAGTAAAATGAAAAAAGAAGAGAAGTAAAATTTCCATATTTCGGCGAATTTTGTATTTTTCCGATTTTGGGGTGAAATTACCCCACCCACTTTAACCAAGTATAAAACTTACAAATTATGCAATTCCTCGCATTTTTTTATGATAAACACTTAAAATCACATAGTATTTATGAAAAACAAAACAATATTAGAATTTAAGAAGCTACTTGGAATATTTTTGTTACTTCTAGGGAACCATATTAGAAAAATCTGCAAAAAATAGGCTTTTCTCTTTGATATTTTGAAAATTTTAGACAAAAACCTGAAAAGCTATCAATTTCATTGTTATTTAATCATAACTTTATTATTTCTGAAATGTTTGTACACCTTTTTATCGAAAACGGCATAATGTTTGCTTTATAATAATATATATACACGTTTTTGCATATAATCGACGGCCATAATGGACGCCATCTTGGATTCTGAAGCTTTGTGAAAGCAAAATTTTGTAAGATTTGAATTTTTGTAAAAGAGAGACTATATACTTACTCTGGTGTAAGTTTCAGATTTGGACAAAAATTTTGATTAAATTGCCCTTGGCTCTTAGGCTATAAAATAAAGATAGAAAAACAGAAATATCATGTTAGAGTGTTATGTACTTCATTATGTGTAATTCCCCAGAGCTAAATCCGTAACGCACCGGAAAACAGAGTTTAGCTAGGTTTTCGAAAAGGTCAATAACTAGATCTATAATTTTGATAGTGGAAATTTTTTTTTATTTCCATAATTTCATCGGTGCTTTTGTATTTGGTACCTTATAGTAAGCCTTAGAGTGTTGAATTATAGTAGGGGTCCAGGGGCAGATAGGGGTGGGGTGTCCAAACACTGATACTGCCTTAGTCCAATAGATTAGACGTTACAGGCTTGTTATAGTTTTATGTTGGTCAAGCCTGACGTCTAATAGTTATTGGTCAAAAACGCGTAGCATTTTGAAAAATTAAAAAAATGTCTGTTGACTTGCCTTTCAAGCTTTATTCAAAAGCTTATCTTCTGTTCTTTCAATTGCATGGTCTATCAGTAACAAAAAGTTTCAAACAATGTACTTATTAATTAAAAATAAAATATAAATATCAATCTATTTCGCTCATCGGCCATACTGGTTAAGGAAAGCGTTTTACAGATTGATTCCAATTTTTTGAACGGAAAAATATTTTCGAACACACTGACGGTGCATGGGCAATTATTTCGTTGAAAAAATATTCCGTTAAAAACTTCTGGAGTCATTTAAACGCTTGCATTTTAATTAGCCAATCAGATTTCGCGCACTGTATGGCGGCCATTTGTATATCTGCTGTACATGGAATTTAATTAAATGAGAGGATTTAATCATGACTTTTCGGGTGTGACAGTTCAATTATTTTGTTGAAAGGTATTTAATTTTTAGTTTTGTTCATAAATAGTTCAAAATTTATGTAAATACACGCTGTTTTAATTGTTAAAATGCATTAGATCTAAATCGATGTCTAATGTCAATTTTTTTGCTACACGATTTTGCAAAGATCTGTTAAGACCTAAGGCCTAAAAAAAAAAATTGTTCTGTTCGGGTCACCCGACCCTACCTAATAATATGCGCCGACCCTACCGTTTTTTTCATGTCCAAAAAAAAAAAAAAAAAAATCCATGAAAATACCGTATTATTGAGGTACTCAATGAGCAGTGTGAAGGGCAATTCAGGCGAAAATTTCGCTGTGTATATTTCCATTTCGCTCTCCCAATTGATCAAAGAGAAGTCAACATCGCCGATAAAATCTTAATTCCCAAAGAGTAATTACTTGCCGATGTAAAGAGCAGAGATTGTATCCGCCCATATGACGACTGCTAATTATCATTATCCAATCAGAGCATCGCTATATACTACCCCTCTACCTGTATGCAAAGCGATAGACCGCCTACTCTAAACAGTAAATAATGAGAGAGCATCGGCCCGAAACGGGAATATTTTGCGAGTTTAATACGGGATTTGGCGATAATTATAGATTAATTTTTTTCCGATCATCTAAACACGTGCAAATCTTCCCTAATTGATATACACGCGGTGTTTAACCGAAGTAAAGGCGATGTCCAATGGGTTTTTCACGGCTATCACAAAACTGTTAGTCAATTCGCAAAAATCTTATGATTGGTATGTTGTAGACAGTGAGAGTGTTTTGCATTGTTATCTTTGTAGAAATGCCAAATTTGACACAGCTTGTACGCACGTGGGCACGACATCCTAAAACTACGAATCATGATCGGCATGCGACATATCGGTCGTATATCATGTGCTCATGTATATAACAACAAAATTTGTCAGGAAAGAAGTGTTCTTATTGTTTCAATATATACATATTTGTTTTAATGTCATAAATATGACGCTCAGATTAAGATTTATTAATATTGTAAATTTCAAAAAGCATTATTTATAAAGATATTACCAGTTTAACATTTCATGAAAATAAAGGGAGGTAATTAGAAATTTATTTTCTATAATTTCTCAGTCGAATTTTTCAATAAGAAATGAATGTATATAATTTTAGTGATCAAATATAATGTGCACAAATGTTTGCAGTACATATTTTACATATTCTTCGATATTTGAAAATTGTTTTATAAGCATAATTATATGCACATAAATACGACAATACAACAAAGAAGATCATAAAAGAAATTTCTGTAAACAGAACAGGATAGACAGATTTTATTAATCATTATCCAATGTAACTTTATCTGGAAAGTAAAAATATAAAGTTAATTTATTCATCATAGTTTTCTTACACATTATTATCAAAAATATATGAGAAAGCTTATAAATAGCTGATAAATAGATTGTGTTTCTATTCTAGTTAAAGGATGTATAGCCATGCATGTTAATGCATAAACATTGGGATGTTTCCCTTCTGCCGATTTTTCACGAGGAAGTCACTTCTCCCTAAAATTTCCCCCCAGGATGAGCCCTGGGTACGGCACAGGTTTTAACGCCGCTCTTAGTTACAAAATGGCAGATCACATCGTCAATATTTGTAAAACGGCGTGTGATCTTCACCAGAAGAACGCTGAGAGTTTAAGATTGTTACACCTGAAATGTCTTTTGAAAACATAGAAGGGATGTATTTGTGCCACCCAGGAGGGATGTCAGAAATTTCCATATCTAAATTTCAAAAAAAAAAAAAAAAAAAAAAAAAAAAAAAAATCCGACCTACCCTACCTATTCCTTGAGAGCATGTTACCCTAACAAAACAATTTTTTTTTTAGGCCTAACGTAACTTGGAAAATGAAAAATGTAAAATATCAGATTAATGAATGATAAATATGAAATAGGTTACGTATAGGTCTTATAATTAGGACTATCGTCGAGTGACCCGTTTTTATGCTGCCCTATTTCGACGCCATTTATATTTTGCCTCATAATTGATATAAGCGGCCGCTTACGTCACAACTGTACTACGCTATAGCAAAAGGGGATTCCTCTAGTTGGTTAGGTAACAATATGTAGTAAGTAAGACACCCAAAGGTAATATTTAGCATGTTATACCTTATTTAAGAGATTTTTGTATGATTTCACTAATGCAATTTTGACCCTCACTTAACTATGTCATGTTTTCCTTGAAAAAAATCGGCTGGAAAATACCTCCCTGTCTGCTGACCTCATTACCTTATTCTCGGGTCACGTGGCAGTAAAAATTACCCAATAGTGTTGTTTTTGGCGCATTTTTTCACCCTAAAGCAACCTGTACGTGTTGTAGATTTTTTTACGGTTATTAATCGATGATTGAATGTTAATTGAAAATTAATTGGATATGTTTATCTTATTTGGATGGAATGAATTGCCATATTTTAATTAGTTGCTCCACAAAATGTATTTTTTTGTTTTTGCAGGTTCAACAAAGAAAGTAAAGATGCTATTTTCCAACCTATATTTTTCAGCAGTGGAGGTCAAACAGACTAGGGCAACCATCCAAACCACTGTAAAAATATAACAATAGCATTTACCACATATAATAATGCTTTATTTATGAAAGAATAAAAGAATAGATAAACTATTTTTCACTTGTTGATACTTTGCAGGTCTATGCTCTTGATATTGGTGAACAACGTAAGTAAAAGTATTTTGGTGTACAGTTTCCTGTAGTGTGTAATTAAATTAACCAATCAATGGCGTCGTTTTAGGGCACTCTAAATAAAAATGGCCGCTCCCGGGTGAAGTGAAAGTAGGATTGTTCATGAAAAGGAATAGCTGGAAAATAGCTTAAATTTACCCATTTCATAAAGGTTAGAGATTTTTTTTAAAGTTAAAACATTTTATACAATACAATCTTATAGTTTTTATAGACGCATACAAAACAATCCTTAAGGGCGTCGAAACTGGTCACTCAAGGATAATACTGCCTGTGCTTGCGAAATCATGTGACCCATCTCAGAAATCGAACGTAAATGTTCTTCCAAACTCGAGATTTATTTTAGGTTGCAGAAATGTATAAACAGCAAAAGTTAAATTACCTTTTTTAATTTATCTGGCAAAACACTGCAAAATATAGAAATTTACGAAAAACTTGCAGACTTCCGAGGCCTCGACTTCCTTGATGTAAGGTCACGTGACGGTTGGAAATCCCCGGTTACACGAAATACCGCAAACCACTGAAAATACCGGAAATTACTTGAAACACCGGAAACCCCTATCATTTTATTAGATATATTATTTATCTTATTTCTTGCAAAGTGTGTAACAAACAATATATCGGTGAAACCAAACTTCCATTAAATAAACGAATGAACTTACACCGCTCTGACTGGAAAACGCGAAAATTTAACAGATCACCAGTTGCTGAACATTTTTACCTTGAGGGACACAGTTTTAAAGACGTGTCCCTCTGTTGTATTGAACATAACACAAAGTGGTCAGATATAACACGGAAATCACGCGAGACATACTGGATTCGCCGACTGAATACGCTAGAGCCATCAGGAATCAATAAAGGAGACTATGTGGTATGTGTGTATATATTCTCTCATTTCTATCAATTTATATGCACACTTGTATCTTAAGTGATCCCACGCAGGGGAAAGTATAACTGTATTGAATTTAAGTATCTCCCTTTATATATACTTTATCTGTCTAAATTCATTGTATCCTACGGATCTACTTGATCTTACGTGATCCAGTTGACTTTCGGAAATGGTAGATATATAGTTCTCTGGTCCCAATCAGTGAAGAAGACAATAAAAATGTAATCGTTGATTTGTGAGATATGATAACAGAGAGCAAACTCTATATATGTGAATGTTGAGCTTGTTCCAATGTGTAGTGCAGTTTGTGACTGTATATAAAGCTGTTCTGAAATCATCATTTTTTGTGATGGTGGATGAGCAGTGGCTATGCTTTCATGACTGTTCTGCTAGGCGCTGTGCCGTAATTGGACTGGCATATCGATGTGGTGGTATGTGTGTATATATTCTCTCATTTCTATCAATTTATCTGCACACTTGTATCTTAAGTGATCCCACGCAGGGGAAAGTATAACTGTATTGAATTTAATTATCTCCCTTTATATATACTTTATCTGTCTAAATTCATTGTATCCTACGGATCTACTTGATCTTACGTGATCCAGTCGACTTTCGCAAATAGATATATAGTTCTCTGGTCCCAATCAGTGAAGAAGACAATAAAAATGTCATCGTTGATTTGTGAGATACATGATAACAGAGAACAAACTCTATATATGTGAATGTTGAGCTTGTTTCAATGTGTAGTGCAGTTTGTGACTGTATATAAAGTTGTTCTGAAACCATCATTTTTTGTGATGGTGGATGAGCAGTGGCTATGCTTTCATGACTGTTCTGCTAGGCGCTGTGCCGTAATTGGACTGGCATATCGATGTGGTGGTATGTGTGTATATATTCTTTCATTTCTATCAATTTATCTGCACACTTGTATCTTATATATATATATATATGTGCTTAATTAAATGCAGAAATAACTATTGATGAATTAAAAAAAGTTGTTTAAATGTTAAAACAAAATAATGAAAATCAATGAATGTTTGATAATATACTAAATGAATATCTAAAAAATGTAAACTAAAATGAGTCTGTTTTCAAATTTATTTGTTTATTGTTTAATAATATTTTGGATTCATGTATTTTCCCTGATATTTGGACTCATTTTAATCATATATTATCCCTGATATTTGGACTCATTTTAATCATATATATAAGGACGACAAATCTCATCCCAACATTTACTGTATAGAGGGATAACTATTTACCAATATACTAAATAATAGACTGAATGAATATTTGGAATGTCACAATGGTACGACATCGTATATGTTCCATTAAGATGTGAATGATTTTTATTTAATTAAGTTGTAATGAAAACTTAATTGTGCATGTGTTGACTATAGGAAGGCGTTTGATTAGTTAATCGATTTCTCATGAGCCAATGGGCGGGTCCACTCGGGTCCGAACCGCAACATATGACAGATATTATTATGTAAGAAGATAAAAATGTGATTTGTTAAAATAAACAGAAACTCCTTGAAAAAAGAGAGTTTAACCCTCGAAACGTTGGAGATAGAAAAGTTTGTTTAATAGATAATTATTATGCCCCCTTCGAAGAAGAGTGCGTATATTGTTTTGCAAATGTCTGTCTGTCGGTTTGTCTATCAGTCTGTCCGTCAGTAGACCCTATGGTTTCCACTGATTATGATGGAAACTGTTTATTAAAAACCAGTAGATGACTCCTATTGATTTTGGGCTCAAGAGGTCAAATGTCAAGGTCACAGGGGTCTTAAATGTAAGAATTGTTTCCGCTGACTATCTTGAAAACTATTTATCACAAAGTCTTGATATTTCACATAGTGATTGGGCATTACTATTAACTAGTACATGACCCCTATTGATTTTAGGGTCACAAGGTCAAAGGTCAAGTTCACAGGGGCCTTTAATGTCAGAATGGTTTCCGCTCATTCTCTCGGTTACAATTGATAACAAAGTCTTCATAGTTCACGTATTGATTGGCCATAACTAGTGAATGACCCCTATTGATTTTTTGGCATCAAGGTCAAAGGTCAAGGTCACAGCCGCCTCTAATGTCTGAATGGTTTTCGCTCATTTTCTTAGTAACTATTGATAACAAAGTCTTCATCTTTCACATATCAATTGGTCACAAATGTAGATGACCCCTATTGATTTATGGGTCACTATGGTAAAGGTCAAGGTCAAAGGGGCCTTTAATGTCAGAATGGTTTCCGCTCATTATGTTGGTTACTATTTATCACAAAGTCTCTATATTTCACATATTTATTGGTCATAACTAGTAGATGAATCCTATAGATTTTGGGATCACTAGGTCAAAGGTCAAGGTCACAGTGGTATTGAATGGTACTATGATTTCTGCTGATTATATTTTGGTTATTATTTATCAAAAAGTCTTTATGGTTCACATGTTGAGTGGTTATAACTAGTAGATGATCCATATTGGTTTTTTGGCCTCCAGGTCAGAGGTCAAGGTCACAGGGGCCATAAATGTTAAAATGCTTTCCGCTTATTATATTAGTTACTTTTCATCACAAAATCTTCATATTTCACATATTGATTTGTCATATCTAGTAGGTAAACCATATTGAATTTGGGGTCACCAGGTGAAAGGTCAAGGTCACAGGCTCTTTGAATGGTAGTATTTATTTTACCTCATTATCTTCAAAACTGGTTATCACAAAGTCCTCATATTTTACATAGTGACTGGTCATAACTAGTAGATGACCCTTATTGCTTTCGGGTCACTAGTTCAAAGGTCAAGGTCACCGGGACCTTTTAAGTGTTAGGATGGTTTCCGTTTATTATCTTGAAAACTTTTTATCACAAAGTCTTCATATTTCACTTACTGATTGGTCACAACAAGTAAGTGACTCGTTTTGATTTTAGGCTCACTAGGTCATGGTCACAGGGTTCTTGAACGGTAGTATGGTTTATGCTCATAATCTTGAAAGCTATTTATCACAGAGTTTTCATATTTCTAATATTGATTGGTTATAACTATTAGATGACCCCTATTGATTTTTGGTCACTAGTTCAAAGGTCAAGGTCACAGGGGCCTAAAATGTCAGAATGGTTTCCGCTCATTATCTTCAAAAATATCACAAAGTCATCATTATTTTTCCTTTTTTCCATATCTGAACACTTCCATGTACCTATTTATTGCGAGTTTCTATAACAATATAACCAATAATGTGAGTCAAAGGCTATAAAGCGGGGCATACATGTTGCGTTCGACATTTCTTTTTAATTAACTGTTTCCAGAATGAATTTAAGATGAGTGTTGTCAGATTATATATTTTTTATGTTTCTTAAAACATGTATGCATCTCTCACTTCATGAAGAGTGCATCAAAGTGCATAACATTCGAGTTTTCCAGATTTCAGATTTTATTATCATATTTTATTAAAAAGAAAAAACAAGAATCCCCAAAGAAAGCCCAACACGGCAAAACTGAAAACCTTGCAGGCTCGGTTTGATTGAGCCTGTTCATGGACGGTACTGCCAAGTGCAAGATACCGTCCACGCACCCTAGCACCGGCTTAAGCAGAATTCAACATTTAACATGTAACTGGTACAATTTTGAATTTTGGAACATCCGCAGATGTGTTCATATGGCGGTTATCATGGAACCTTAAATGTGACACTTAAGTGCCATACCATGAAAAGCTGCATATGGTCCCCAAGAAAAATATGCGTGTGCCCTAAACGAGAAAACAAATGTTTTTTTATTCTTTTCAAATTTAATTGTTAATTTTCTGTTTATGATTATGTCAATTAGGACTTGAGAAGAAAAACTTACAGTTGGAGAAGAGATGTAGAAACCATAATGAAGGTAAACATGTAACATTGATTGATTATTTTAAAGGACTTGGGTCTGTTGTGTACTAAACCCCCTTGTGCTTGAAGGGGTTCCCTTTAGGGATTGGGGCATCATAATTGCAGCCACCGTTTATCCCTGTGTGATTGTATAAGGAGGCTAAATTGGTTCTAATTGCTGCAATGAGTCTCTCCAGCAGGTGAAGTGGTTTCGACAGCTTCTAAAACCCTAGATTTGCCGAAATCATCTTTCATGTTTCGTCGCCATATGACCTAAAACAAAACAAACAGAATTGTGCGATAAAGTAGCTGGTTTATTTCATTAATAATATATAGAATAAAATAACATTCTGAAAGGAATGGTATTATTTTCATAAGATTCAGTATTATAAGTGTCCCTATATATATGGCTGCATAATTTATATTTTCATGTTATAAACGAAAAATAAGGGTAAATAAATTGATACAGAATAAGATTATGTCGTAGGGTTCCTCTTTCCTAATAAAGGAGGGGCTGTTTCGGCCTGTAATGGCACGGAAACAAATAAACAATTTACTAAGGATGCAAGAAGACGCAAACACAGCTACTTCGTGGCGCAAACCAATGGAAGTGTATTCAATGTGCAAAATACAAAATGCAACACGCATGTCATTTCAATAATTGAATGAATACATTACGAGTAATAAATAACAACCAAAATTACCTGTAATGGCACGGAAACAAATAAACAATTTACTAAGGATGCAAGAAGACGCAAACACAGCTACTTCGTGGCGCAAACCAATGGAAGTGTATTCAATGTGCGCATGCGTGACTTCCAATCCGGGTGAGTAAATGTTAGGAGGCCCGTCCAGAAGAAATTAGTTGTTATGAATTATATAGAATGACATTAAGTGTTACATGTTGCAATGAATGAAAAGGATGAATGAAAATGAGAAAAATATGGGGGATGAATAGGACAAATATATAGGACATATATGATATAACAAAATGACAAACGTACAGGGAATATATAACGACACAATATATAAGACATACATACAAACAATAAATTATACATGTCGGTATATTACCCTCGTGACAATTATAATTATGTTTATGTTTGTGTACCGGACTTTAGTAATCCAATATATCATTATTTGGCATGTTTGTAACAATACGGTATCGTGGCATATATAACCATGGAGTATCGTGAAATGTTTACCATGGAGTATCGTGACATGTATGTAACCATACAGTATCATGGCATATAGAACCACGGAGTATTTGTGGAATATCCAGGCATGTATGTAACATGCGGTATCAAGGCCTATATAACCACGGAGTATCATGACATCTATGTAACGGTAGAGTATCTTGGTATGTGTATCGTATAGTATCGTGGCATGTTTGTAACAATATAGTATCAAGGCATATATAACCACGAAGAATCGTGATATGTTTACCACGGAGTATCGTGGCATGTATGTAACAATACAGTATCAAGGCATATATAATCACGGTTCAGGGATATGTTTTATATTCATTATTTTTAATATGTTTTATATTCAATATAAAAATGTTGTACAAAGCTTTTATTTATTTAATAATTTTGTTGATCAGGAATCGAATTTTCTACATCTCACGTAATCGAGCCTGTAACAGACCCAACATCAACGACTAAGTATTCAACAACAGAGCAGACACGTGCGTATTTTATGAAACAACAAAATTCACATACATAGCGTTATTAGTACTTATAGTTTGTTAAAAGTGTTATTATGTCCATCCTGTCGTAAATGAATGATCAGTGAACAGATAAGAATAAAATAAATTTGCATTTTGCCATACTTGTTTTCAATTTCATATTTTACTATAAAAGGCAATTTTCTATAAATATAGTTTAGTATGCATCGGTAACATATCTCCGTTCTTTAAAAAAGTGGAAATTATGTTTGATAATGTATGTGTTATTTTATATTGTTTAAAAAATATTTACTTTTAATAATTATAATTTAATTGTCAATCACCATTATGGTAGCCAATCTTTTCGAGTATTTTGCTTATTCAACTCGAAGTTAAGTGAAAAATATGTGCCTAATGTCATTTTAATAATATTGAAACCATATCATAAAAGTTAAATTTTGCAAAAATAAATAAAAGCAAAATAACTGCTACTGTGTTTTGCGCAACATGTATTTCTTCATTTATTTAAAATAATAGCCCTTGTTTTTGGAACTTCGCTTAAATTATTAAAATATTTATGGAACACATGGACATTTTTATCTCACATTGATTTAAGAGTAAAATACAACATACTGGCATTATAGCATTATATCAATTGATTTTGAAGTAAAATACAACATACTGACATTATAGCATTATATCAATTGATTTTGAAGTAAAATACAACATACTGACATTATAGCATTATATCAATTGATTTTGAAGTCAAATACAACATACTGACATTATAGCATTATATCAATTGATTTTGAAGTTAAATACAACATACTGACATTATAGCATTATATCAATTGATTTAGAAGTAAAATACAACATAATGGCAATATAGCATTATATCAATTGATGTTGAAGTTAAATACAACATACTGACATTAAAGCATTAAATAAATTGATTTTGAAGTAAAAAACAACATACTGACATTATAGCATTATATCAATTGATTTTGAAGTTAAATACAACATACTGACATTATAGCATTATATCAATTGATTTAGAAGTTAAATACAACATACTGACATTATAGCATTAAATAAATTGATTTTGAAGTAAAATACAACATACTGACATTATAGCATTATATCAATTGATTTTGAAGTTAAATACAACATAATGACATTATAGCATTAAATAAATTGATTTAGAAGTCTAATACAACATAATGACATTATAGCATTATATAAATTGATTTAGAAGTAAAATACAACATACTGGCATTCTTGCATTATATCAATTTATTTGGAAGTAAAATACAACATACTGACATTCTTGCATTATATCAATTGATTTAGAAGTAAAATACAACATACTGACATTATAGCATTATATCAATTGATTTTGAAGTAAAATACAACATACTGGCATTATAGCATTATATCAATTGATTTTGAAGTAAAATACAACATACTGGCGTTATAGCATTATATCAATTGATTTAGAAGTCAAATACAACATACTGACATTATAGCATTATATCAATTGATTTAGACGGAAAATACACCATACTGACATTAAAGCATTATATCAATTGATTTTGAAGTAAAATACACCATACTGGCAATATAGCATTATATCAATTGATTTTGAAGTAAAATACAACATACTGACATTATAGCATTATATCAATTGATTTTGAAGTTAAATACAACATGCTGACATTATAGCATTATAGCAATTGATTTGGAAGTTAAATACAACATACTGGCATTCTTGCATTATATCAATTGATTTAGAAGTAAAATACAACATACTGGCATTCTTGCATTATATCAATTGATTTTGAAGTAAAATACAACATACTGGCGTTATAGCATTATATCAAATGATTTTGAAGTAAAATACAACATACTGACATTCTTGTATTATATCAATTGATTTTGAAGTAAAATACAAGATACTGGCATTCTTGCATTATATCAATTGATTTTGAAGTTAAATACAACATACTGACATTATAGCATTATATCAAATGATATAGAAGTAAAATTCAACATACTGGCATTATAGCATTATATCAATTGATTTTGAAGTAATATACAACACACTGGCAGTCTAGCATTATATCAATTGATTTAGAAGTAAAATACAACATACTGACATTATAGCATTATATCAATTGATTTTGAAGTTAAATACAACATACTGACATTATAGCATTATATCAATTGATTTAGAAGTCTAATACAACATACTGACATTATAGCATTATATCAATTGATTTAGAAGTAAAATACAACATACTGGCGTTATAGCATTATATCAATTGATTTAGAAATAAAATAGAACATACTGGCATTATTGCATTATATCAATTGATATAGAAGTAAAATACAACATACTGGCATTATAGCATTATATCATTTGATTTAGAAGTAAAATACAAGATACTGGTATTCTAGCATTATATCATTTGATTTAAAAGTAAAATACAATATACTGGCATTCTAGCATTATATCAATTGATTTTGAAGTAAAATACAACATACCGACATTATAGCATTATATCATTTGATTTAGAAGTAAAATACAACATACCGACATTATAGCATTATATCAATTGATTTAGAAGTAAAATACAACATACTGACATTATAGCATTATATCAATTGATTTTGAAGTAAAATACAACATACTGGCATTCTAGCATTATATCAATTGATTTAGAAGTAAAATACAACATACTGACATTATAGCATTATATCAATTGATTTAGAAGTAAAATACAACATACTGGCATTCTAGCATTATATCAATTGATTTCAACATACTGGCATTATAGCATTATATCAATTAATTTCAGCTGTTCCTAATAAACCAACATCATTTAACTATACTGATGCCCTCAGAAAATCTATTCTATTCTATGCGGCGCAAAGATCTGGAACGCAACCAGAATTTAATCCGATACCATGGCGACGGTGGTACACAGAGGAGACAGAAACGTCTGGTGGATGGTACGATGGTAAGACTGTATCCAACTTATATATAAAAAAAATACCACTGTGTTAAAAAAATGATTATATAACGTAAATACGTAAGCACAAGTCACCACCGTTCGTTAATTACATTTGGGTAATTTATACACATGTACTTTGAAATTTTACATGAATATTACGACGATTTGTTTCAAACAAACAATAACGTGAACTAAATAAAGATGTAAGTATATAAATGACCAATAGAGATATATTAAACATGAAAAAAATGACAATGATCATTTATAAAGAGATTTCTATAAACATAAATATAAATTTTACATGTATGTGATTTTAAGACGGGTCAGCAGTAAAGACGACTAAGGTGATGGCCTCGGCTGTTATAATGATTGGTTGGGGAGCTGTGAAGTTCAAGGCTGGATACGAGACAGCGGGTTTATTACACGATCTGTACGATAGTTTGAGATGGCCATTAGATTATTTTATCAAAATATGGCTACCTGATATACAGGGCTTAATACAAAAGGTTTGATTACAAGAAAATTCATTCATATTCTTATATGAGTATTGTTAAAATGTTAGTTATTAGCGCATTGATGAACTTTTTTTCAAAGTAAGTGTATTGTGTAACCTTCTGAGAACGCCTTTATGACGTCGTCACAAAGTGTTTTTTTGCGAAATATTACATGGGTCATATTTAGGTGTCTTTCTTTCGGTACCTAATTATATAATATCCAATTTGCTAGCCGATGCCAAAAACCATACTTCACAACAGAAGTAACAGAGAATGATTATTTTACTATACGTGAATAATGTCCTCAGTATTCAATATATACTTAGCGTGGCGGTGTTGGCGGTTTTCACTCCGTGCCACGGCAGTAAGCCACATTGAGTTTACCATAGTTCATTTCAGCCACCGCATCGTTCCTGGGCAGACTGTCAAGCAGTTTACCAGTCCTAGTTGCCTTATGCAAGGAAATGAAACTTCTTTACATACCAGAGCAGAGGTACAGTGCGAATGACCGGAGAAAATATTTCATTATTAATCACAACGAAAATGACCTGCACTAAGTATTATAGCCACGATTATTTATACGGACAGGTCGGTTTAGAGGCGTTTGAGCGAGGAATGTGGTCGCGCCCTGAAAGTAGATATGGAATGAACAATTATTTAGTAAACTATGCGCTTTCAAGAGGCCAAAAAGAAGGAGCTGACGTGGCCGGGGATGTGGCAACAGCACTTGTTATTGGAGCAGAAATATTCAAAGAAAATGGTATATCCTTTTTTCATTTTCAAGGACCAATTACTGATATATGTAGTCACATTACATTTACAATTTAACAAAATGAAACCCTCATAAACGCTCAAAAATGGCACCCATTGAAATTCTTTGAGGACGGCAATGGAATATGTAAAATGTCAGTCATGCCCCTTTTAACATGATGATTCCAAAGGCTGGTAAATCCGTGACAAACATATAGATCTCACTAAAAAACAAAAACTGTATCAATTTGTTCATCATTTCTTAGATATATCTCTCTAAACTCATATTTACCTCCTCAAATTAAAAGTTGTTTAAATTTGTTATGTAAATGTGTTATCATCGCAATATCATCCCAATTGATTCTTCTATAGAACATTTTGAAAAGTTCTATCGATAGTTGAGTAAAATATCAATGTTTAATTATATTTATTCTTAATCACTTTCGTAAAAGGTTAACTTTTCGTAAAATACTCATGTGAAAATATTTTGAACATACTAGTAAAATATTAACATTTCATCAGCGACTTTTTGAGTCATATCAAATTATACTTTGTGAGGTATTCTAACACGATCCGCATTTTTCCCCATTAAACATAGAAGAACCGAAAGTGTGTGTTATTATGCAATAAAATAAAAGTTTTACTTTCTTTATTTAGACATGTGACGTAATCATTATACACGTGACATTACCACTAAAATGTGACGCGCATTTATGTGTTAGTGTCGTGTTAGAATCGAAATAATATATCCAAATCGATGATTTTATTGCTTGATAACATCACTGTTTGTCGTTCGGATGCACATTATTATATCACTCGGACTACGCACTCATGATATAATTCCTCGCATCTGAGCTCTAAACAGTGCGTTATTGAGGAAAAAATCACTTTTTTTGGTTATATTTTTCTTAAATTTAATTTCATCTTGTCAAACTTTATATGGGAAATATTTTAATTAAAAAGATTTCGAACTTTTTTTAGGAAACATTTAACATTATTAATTTAAACCAAAAACAGCAAAAATAAAAATTTATTTGGGAGTTCAAATAATAATTATTTTCAAGAACTGTTATTTTTTGTTATTTTGTTTGTATTTAAAATTTAAATAAATTTGTTTCAGGAAAAAACATTAAATTTGTACGGTTTATTCTTTCTCCCCTAATTTTTTGGGCCGTAAAAAAATTCATTTAATATCTTCCCAAATTTATTGAATGTATTAATATCGATGCCAAGCACTCTTAAGTTTTTATCTTACAACAATTATCATATTTATTAAATGTTAACCTATAGCTCTTCAGCGCTTCTTATGTAAAATTCTTCCAAGTATAATTTCCAATAACCGTAAATTATACCATACCCAGACTATGGTATAATTTTCAGTTTTTCTGGGCGGAGCAATAGGTTAAAACAGTAGCGTCATGTTATTTTGATTGACAGCTCATTTTACGTCATTTCTGCTATGCAAATTTAGATCGAAGGAGTAAGTGTTTCTGGGCGGAGCTATAGGTTAAAACAGATACACCATTGGTGCGTTGGCGATTTCTGGGTTCGCGTAAATTATACCATAATATAAGTTTTTATCTTACAACAATTATCATATTTATGTCGTGAGGTCAAGGCATAAGAAAGGTCACGTGATTATGGTATAATTTACGCAAACCCAGAAATCGTCAACGCAGCAATGGTAAATCTATTGCTTATCTTTATAATTTTAGATACATCCTACTCTGACAGACTGATGGTGACAGCTAAAGATGTTTACACGTTTGCAAAGCAATTAGAGAGAACATACCAAGACTACTCTAGTGTTCACTATTCTGAGTAAGTTAACTACGCGTGAATACCTGAAAAGATGAAAAGAAAAACTTGCGACATTCATGCCTGAGTTATCGCGAAACGCTCATGTTATTTAAAACATTAGTAAGTTAACTACTAGGGTTTCTTAATCGGACAAAAATCATAATCGATCATCGAAAATAATCGAACAACCTTTTTCGATCAATCATCGATTATATAATCGAAACATTTATGATAACAAAATAAATATGTACAATGCACATATCATGCTTTAATATTTATAAGAATTCCATTAATATTCTTTATTTTGTGTAACTACCACTTAATCAACTGAAAAAAAACTAGTTACTCATGCTTATGTTCATCCTTGAGTAAAATATTTTAATCAAATAAATTCATTATATCTATGAAATTATTATGTCTCAATTCCAATAAAGGAATAAATAAGCTATGTATGGGAACAAGAGAAGTTGGTCATTAATAAAAATGCCAGGTTTTTTTAATGTCACTATATATTTATATATATTGTAACCATCTTTAGTTTAGTGTGTAGAATAATTTTATGCATATCTTCTTTGTTTGAAGTCAAAACATCATAACATGTTTATTTCATATTTACAAATAGACTGTGTTTCAAATTTGAGCATAGTATGTCTGTAAACAAGAATGCCTCACTGTCAACTATTAACCTCGTGGTCACCAGTATGCTTTCTCATTCATTTTAATGAAAATTATTGGGTAAACCAAAGCTGGCTTTAATTTAAAGTGTTGTTATAATACAGGGAGTCACTTAAGTAACAGCAAGAAGATAAATATCCGATGATCGATTATTGAACTTTGTATTCGATGATCGCTAATCGGTCCTATAAACGATCAGTTATCGATTATACTCGATCATCGTTTAATCCCTATTAACTACGCGTGAATACCTGAAAGAACTTGCGACACTCATGCCTGAGTTATCGCGAAACACGAATGTTGAAACATTAGTGTTCTATCTTTTCTGTTTATTACATAGATCTGATTTATATAGTAATCTATTTATACTTATTTATTTACTTATTTCAGTCTCGTTCACATACATTTATACAAACAAAGCATAAACTATATTACTTTTACGGATCAAACACGGCCCTCTAGAGCATCGTGGGCGAGTAAAATTCACCAATATGTCCAATATCAGATTAATGTCAAGATATACTAATTACTAACCATAGTTTTACCTTTAAACCTTTAAAGTTAAGATTTTATAACGCCGTTTAATTTTCGGCGTTTATGTATAAATTATAAAGACAAAGTTTCACAAGATTTATTAAGATTTTATGAACGCCATTAAATTTTGGCGGGTATTTATTCTTTATGAAGACAAATTTGATCAAATATTTGATAAGATTTTATTGACGCAATTTAAATTTTGGCGGGTAGGTATATTATATAATTTGATCAGTAAGTGTTGCCTATTTTGTTATCAGCTCTTCTTATCTTTTTTAAATAGATGTATTTAATATGTATATATTTATTCTAATAGGAGATGATGCATTTTCAATAACATATAAATACTGTCATAACGTTTAAATATTGAACAGTCCTGGTGAAAGTTATGCCGACGAAATGTGTGTGGCGGCTTGGTGGATGTACAGGGTCACAAAGAACAGCAGTTACTATGACGACGGTATGAAGTATAGCAGTATGATAACAGTTGATTCACTACTAGAATGGAAGACTAAGAACCATCTTTGTCATGTAATTATTTGATTATTTCTCTCTCATATTCCATGTTACTATAATATTACACTGAATTATGTGATACTGCACGTTTGTAATGTCGCTTTCCATTGGATAATCGCGATATTGATATAAACTATACTCACGGATGCTGTCATTTTTCTTAATTATGGTACATATCCCCTAAATAAAAAGAAGTTTGTTGGTTTATAAATTTTGACATGTTATGTTTTATAAAATGGTCTTTTATAGACGTTGTTTGAAATATAAGCTTAGCATTTTGACTCAGTTTACATAATTATACTAAAGGCCGAATATATAAGTCTATATAACCTGTCAAAAATCTTTTTAACTAATAAACGTGTTATACCATTTATCGACCCTTTAATTGCATAGATTTCATGTTACGTTAAGTGGAAATTTTGTTTAATTATTAATTTATAATAACATTTGATAGTTACGTATTGTCTATAGATATTAAGAGCAGTTTATGAAGAAAATGGAAATACAGACAATCTAAGAGAAGGTTTAGATTACTGGAGAAAGGATATACAGAAAACGCCACAGGGCTTGGCATGGTATAAAAAAGACCCTCTTAAGTTTGCAGGTAGGTATATTTTCTCATCTATCATTGTATTAAACGGAAAATATAAAATGTCGCTTTACCTGCTTTAAAAAGTTATTGTATATCGATTTCAGATAACTTTTCTGTTTCATTTCGTGTAAAGTAAATTCTCCCAGTACAACAGTACTCATGACTGAAGTTTCATTTTCTGACAATATCAGTTTGGAATACATATAGAGGTTTAAAGTTTTACCTGCATCATAAACCACATAAAGACCCTCGCCTGTCGTTTATTTTTATATGAATTTGTTTAACACCTTGATATTTGAATTCAGCAAATGGCGCCTTTCTTCACGTGCTTACACAAGAAGAAGTAGGTCTAGATGTACAGCCGACAGATTTTCACAAAACACAAATAGATTACATGTTGGGCAATAATGTACAGGCATTTAGTTACCAGGTTGGATATGGACCACGTTATCCTAGACGGCCTCACCATAGAGCCAGGTATAAATTGGTCTTGTTTTTTATTAATTCAACAAGTGAGTTTTGCATGATGCAATTACTACTACCTCCATCAAACCGAGCCTACAATATTTTTAATTTTGCCGTGTTGGGCTTTCTAAAGAGATTCTGTTTGGTAACAACAGTGTTTTTTTTGTGCCGTGTGGCGGCTGTGAAACCTTTTCCCGTACATTTAATCAAAGATTTTATATTTTCGGCACACACACATTTTTTCACTCGGGGACAATATACCGCTTTTCATAGAATGGCACTAACGTATCACATTGAACGTTCTATGATGACCGTCATATGAATACATCTGTGGATGTTTCATAATTATACCAGTTCATTTTAAAAGTTCAATTCTGCTTAAGCCGGTGCTTGGGATGTGAACGGTAGCATGCAATTACAACTGCCGTCCATGAACAGACTCAATCAAACCCAGCCGGTAACATTTTTAATTTTGCCGTGCTGAGCATTCTTTAGGGGGTCTGTTTTTCTCTATTTTTTAAAGCAATCTTGGAGTCGAGTGTCAAAAAACTACCAGTAAGCGTATAATAACAAAATTATAAAATACATTTTCCTTGATAAACAAGGTCGGACGCGTGCGTTATTTCATGTTTTATACAAAGCATTATTTTATTTATTAAAATTCTAAAAAGATCATAAATTACAATTGTATCATGTTTTTGTGACCTCTCTGGATTTAATTCGTATACATAATGCATGCATAGTGCGTTAACTGGAGTGCAAGTATTAGTTATCCGCACTCCAAAGCATGGCCATTGATTGGTTCACTTTTTCTATGGTTTACTTCTTGTGAAAACAGAGAAAGGGATAACGTTAGAAATATTTCATCATTGTTTACTTTTTATTGGGGTTTATATTGAGACAACAGGGAACGTGGTTTTATTTTTGCCTATGATACTGAAAGAGCATCAAAACACATTGCAATCTGATTTATACACCCCGAGTACAAATAAAATGTGTTTTATTCCCACCCTATAAAGAATACATTTTCGTTACTAAATGTGGTGTATACTTCATTCGTCCTGGAAACCCAAATATCAGGACTAACCTCATATACTAGTAATTTACCCACAAAACAACCTGATTACGAAATTTATATAAAATCTAGAAATGTGTCATCATGCCACGGATGCCCCCGAATGCAGCCAAAATTTCAGATGGTGCTTTAATTATTTTTTTTCATTTTAAGTTCAAAGCCCTTAAAACTTTTTAATGTTAACACAAACCATTTTCATACAATGTTCAAGGCACTGAATTTATTCAGTCTAAACCTTTTAAAAATAGCATATTGCATATTTGTAGCCAAAATAATGAGTGCTGAAAGTGAAAGTTCAAAATTTTTCCAACATTCAGGAAAGATAAGTTTATCTTAAATCATTGAACTACAACCAAATTCAAACTTAAACTGCTTATTCCTAAGATGTATCTATATTATTTTCGAAGTGAAAGGGACATAACTCTGCCAAAAAATCATCAAACCATGACCAAATTCCAACTTGACCTGCCCATTTCTTTGACATATCCATATGTCAAATTTAAGTTGCATATGTAACACTGTTGGGTAGATAATGAACAGAAACTGTAAATTTCATATTATTTTCAAAGTGAAAGGGACATAACTCTGCCAAAAATCATTGAACCATGACCAAATGTGAACTTGACCTGCGCATTCCTTCGACGCATCCGTATGTCAAGTTTGAGTGGAATGTGTTGTACTTTTGGGGAGATAATGAACGGAAACTGAAAATTTCATATTATTTTCAAAGTAAAAGGGGCATAACTCTGCCAACAATCATCGAACCAAGACCAAATTCGAACTTGACCTGTATTTTCTCATGGCATATCCATATGTCAAGTTTGAGTTGAATATGTTGTACCGTTGGGGAGATAATGAACGGAAACTGAAAATTTCATATTATTTTCAAAGTAAAAGGGGCATAACTCTGCCAACAATCATCGAACCAAGACCAAATTCGAACTTGACCTGTATTTTCTCATGGCATATCCATATGTCAAGTTTGAGTTGAATATGTTGTACCGTTGGGGAGATAATGAACGGAAACTGAAAATTTCATATTATTTTCAAAGTAAAGGGGGCATAACTCTGCCAAAAATCATCAAACCATGACCAAATTCGAACTTGACCTGTATTTTCTCATGACATATCCATATGTCAAGTTTGAGTTGAATGTGTTGTACTATTTGGGAGATAATGAACGGAAACTGAAATTTCATATTATTTCCAATGTAAAAGGGGCATAACTCTGCCAAAAATCATCGAACCATGACCAAATTCGAACTTGACATGTATTTTCTCATGACATATCCATATGTCAAATTTGAGTTGAATGTGTGCAACCGTTCTTAAGATAATGAACGGAAACTGATGATGACGGAATGACAGAATGACGGAAGGATGGAAGGACGGAAGGATGGAAGGACGGAAGGACGGAACAGGGTAACGCTATATGCCCCGGCCATTACATGGCGGGGGCATAAAAAAGATATCAAACTTTTTTTTCTAAAAATATTTGCGCAAATGTATCGGCATTTCCCACAAGCAGTTTAGAATAGCACATTATTCACTTGTCTACTTTCCCTTTTATTAATTATGTTTTAAAATTGTACATGATCCGGCATGGTAACGGTTATATAACTTCCACGTTATACTTTCAGCTCTTGTCCAGATTTTATGGAGTATTGTGATTGGTCTATTTATAACGTCCCAGGTAGAAATCCATTTGAACTAACAGGAGCACTTGTGAGTGGTCCAGACATTAATGACGTGTATGAAGACATCAGATCGAACTATTCTACAAACAGGGTATCAGTTGAACATAACGCAGGATTTCAGTCGGTTCTCGCATGTAAGTGTTTGCAATTGACAATCCATATTTTGACAATCTTTTGTCAATGATTAAAGATAAACAATTATCTGTTTGTTTTCTGGATTTTGTATAATTCAGGATGAACTAGACATCACGTTTATAATCAGATGAAGCCAGACTTGCCCAATTACACGAGAGTTTATACTGAAGCTTAACGAGTTACATAAGAAAAGTTTCTAAAAAAAATGCTTAAAAATCGCCCAAGTGATATCTTCAGTAATTAGACTGAAACATTAGGACATTGATGTATCATCGACATATCCAAGCTATAGCTGTCTGTTTCTAAAACATCTACCTTTATCATAAATATATATTGTTTCTCGTGTGTTAACTACATTGTATATGAAATGATCAAAGACACGATAACTAAGACCGTTACATAATTATTTTCAAAATACAGATATGGTTATGAAGGAGTCATCAACTAAAACAACATCCAACAGACTGCCGTCAACAACAACTGTTGGAGGTTTAACTTAAGGGTTTGGTTCTCTTTAAATTGCTACAATATGAAAAAAATAAACATAAATTTGTGGAAATAACAACGAATATGGCATTTGGAATACGACAATTGGACCGCTAGTTTGCGGAGTTTTAGGATTAGAAGTAAAATATAAATTTCATGATATTTGAGATGTTATGACAAATCTATGTAACACATTATTCCAATGGGCATCTGACACGGACAACAGGCAAATGTGATAAGTAAAGCAGAAAGTTTGACTAAGATAAAATAGAGAGAAAAAACGTGTTAAATATAATAAAAACATCCGAATTGCTTTACTTTTAATATGGAGCTTTAAAGTACTGCAGTAAAAGTATGTGCTTTAAATTAATCATGGTCAAAGATAGTTTGCAGCCGTTTATGACATTTAATTACCGATCTGTGTCCGGTCGCTTATGACATTTATTACCCACCATTGTTCGGCAACTTTACTATTCGGCCGCTTGCCATTTGACTACCGTCCAGTGTCCGGTGGCTTAACACATTTAATTTTAGTCTAGTGTTCGGCCGATCATGTCATTTAATTTTCACAGTGTGTGTCCGAATTTCTTCCAACGTACAAGATATATTAACCACTTATGAACATTTGACTTTGCTTGTGGTAATTTAGTTCTTTCTATTCGGCTATTTTCTTGTTTTGTGGTTCTATTGTTCCTCACTTGAATACTGTTGAATCACACTTAGGATAGAAATGGCCTGCTTTTTAAATTTGTCTTTTGACGTCTTATCTGTGTTATGCAGGCTTCATAACCTCTCATCCCCTTTCATAATTCTATTTCATTTAGTTCCGCCATTTGTTTTCTCGTTTAGGGCACACGCATTTTTTACTTGGGGACAACATGCCGCTTTTCATGATATGGCACTTCCGTGCCGCACTGAAGGTTCCATGATCATCGCCATATGAATACATCTGTGGATGTTTCAAAATTCAAAATTGTACCAGTTCATGTTAAATGTTGAATTCTGCTTAAGGTAGCTCGCTACTTTCCGACCGAAATATGACAACATCTCAGATCTTGATGATTTTTGATATGCAAACATATAAATATGTGAGCTTTACTTCTGCAGTATTATTTATAAATAAACAGCGTTACTATGACGTCAAAGCGCCCTCTATCGGTGGCGGTGAAATTGCGTCTTTTTTATCAATAAACCGGGTCTGTTCTTATCAATTTTCATCCGATTTCCTTCATTTTAATATCATAATGTTTCAGTAAATGTATGTCTTTGTAATGATGTCTTTCTTTAACATTTACTTAATAGTCTGCGATTTTACGTCATTTTTCTCTTACTTTCTGACGTCCATATTTGATGCAAATATCGCGCGATATCGCATTAAAGATTGTGTAATAAAAAAATTCAACACGGTGAATTTTGCTATAATTTTCCGAGCGTGTAGTGAGATAGTGACGGAAATATTTATGCAATAAAAATATAGGGTCAACGCGATAAGATATTTTGCTATTACTGTTTTTAAATAAATAAGGGTGAGTGAAACGTTATGATTTTGGTGACGTTAATAGTTGTTGGAGTTCAAAGAATAATACCAAATAACAATTTTCTTACGTCAAACATTACGATAGTAAGTATAAACAACACAGGGACTTGATGAAAATGTATATTTTTTTAAATTGCCCTTGATTATTTTTTCTCATTGAAAGCATGCGCTAGATGAGCACATTTACAATGTTAATCCGACAATCCCTTTTTAAATACTTTTTTAATTTGCAGGACACAGTCTCATATATACATCTTTTAATTCTAATTTTATAATGTGATGTTGTTAAAGTGTTATATTATTCATATGAATTAACTAGTTTCAGCGCAAAAATAAGGTTCACATATTGCTGTATGAATGTAGTAAGAATATAAGGTCGCTTACCCGTAGAATTATTTATTTTACGTTACATTCAGTCTTTAAACACTTTCATAAAATCACATAAAGGCAGACGAGCCTCGGTGTCAAAACACATCGTAAAAATACAATTCAAATAGATATGCATACAAATGTGCCGAAATAAGTGATAAATAAAATTCAGAAATAATATTCAAATATGTTAAAGGGACTGAGGTATTTTTGACATGATGGAACTGAAAATATTTTTTCCAGATAAATGTACCATTTGATGTAGGTTTACACCACGAATCTTTGTGCAAAATTTCAGAGCATTCGCGCACTTCGTTTTTCCAGAATAATTATTCAAAATGAAAAGCTTTTTTCACCCAAATCGGGCTAACAAAACATAAAAATACGATTTTTAATTTATTTCAAAGTATATTTCTTAACTATCTTCGCATACATTTCTGTTTAAAGTGCCCAGCTCATTTATGTAAGAAATTCAAATGTTATGTGTTTAGCTTTTCAACCTCATTGGAGTCCCTTTAAGAATATTTAAAAACAAACTGTACAAGAAACAAAAACCTTTATTTTGTTTTTATTTTTGCTTACCATTTCTAAGTCTGTGCAATACATAGATTATATAATTATAATCTAATTAAAATGTCATGATAATTAGAAAATGAGCACTTATGTGACAAAATATAAACTATTTTGGAAGCAAAATCATACTGAATAAAAAAATATATATGCATATTCGCAACTGCAGACTCGAATGTACACCCAATATAACCATTACTCAACTCGGAATCATTACCGTTTTTATTTGTTTGGGTCGTCAGACCAAACAAATAATGGTAGCGAAATTTCAGAGTCTAATGCTGTTAATTGCAAATGCCGAAAGTAGTCCACTTTTTTGAAGCGGTTACTCCCCTTTATATGTACACTAACGCCGAAAAATTCAGGGGAGATCACTGCGTAAAGATGGTCAAAGACAGGCACATTAATTTTCAAGCAAAATAATTCCCAAATGGTCGAAGAGTTCTAATATTGTTTTATTGTATTTTCTGATCGAAAATAAGTAAATACAAAGCGGACATTCAATCTCTGACACAGAAGTTTACGACAAACCTAACAACAAGTAGTTCTTAAAACAGCTTAAAACTAGCGATTTAAAAGAAAGAAATATTTTTATTTTGTTACAAGTATCCAACAAATTACAACGCATTCAAAGTTTAAAAATAGCGTTGGCTTATAGAATTGTCAATAAATGCACAATCACAAATTACGCGGATGAATATGATTTTATCAATGAAAATACTATTTTTAGCGATGTCGATTACCGAATACTACACAAACCGAGTAGTGGAATATATAGATTCTACATGTCGGACTGTTTGGGCGAGAAGATTTTCGCTAAATTATTTACTTCAATTTTAAACAACAGGTTTATCCTGAACAAAATACCTCGAAATTAATAAGGATTACAAACCCGAAATGCAATGGAAGTTCTAAATTTAGAATGGCTTGATGTTATTCAGACAACGTTTTTATAATTACTCCGTGGTGCAGGGGTAACGCACTCGCTTAGTGAGTGAGAGGTCTGGAGTTCAAATCCCAGTCGAGGAAACTTTTTTTTTTTAATTCTTTTTAAAGTGTCTTTGTTAAGGAAGTAGCCGTGATATGCAAGGATAAAGTGTAGCTGTCGTAAAAAAATGAACATAAATGATATTTTGATGCAACTCTAGTTATGCAGAATTCCGTATGTATCAAACTCTGGTGCCTTGCAAAATGAATTATAATACATAAAAATAAACTTATACAGGAAAATACATACAGATATACAGTACGAATTAGATTGCAAAGATCAGAAAATACCAGAGAACTTGCAACCCTTTGATTCTTTATAAATATACATGCTTATAGTAAGCTCCAGGATTATTTACATCTGTGTTAAACAACAGTTAAAGTCGTTACAAGCCCTAATTTAGAATAATATGGTTTTCTTCAGGCCGTTCACATATAAATTCACCGTGGCTGAAGGGTTTTCGCGCTCGCTTAGGAAGCGAGAGGTCTAGAGTTCAAATCCCAGTAAAGGCAACTCATTTTTTTTCAAATTGTTTAAGTCAAATAAACATTGGATTGAATATCAGTGTTGCAATCAGTCTTATAGCCAATTTACTACAATTAAAACGCTGGAAAGCATTGGTGGCACTATACATATAATCTCACAACATGGACCTTTCTTACATTCTGAGACCCAAACAAATTCAGCGCCTTCTGTGCTTTGATTTCATTACTGTACAGTATAACATAGCGGCCCTCAAAGTATTATTTATTTCTAAAGAGTTCCACTACATTTTACCTCTGTAGAGCAACCACTCTAGGCAACAAAGGGCATTTCTCTGTAGAGGTTATACTGTATATTTTAGTTAAATACAAAATATAATTATTAACTAACTTGTGCAACTTTTGTTACCACTGAATACGAATAATGTATTATGTTGACGTTATCTTGTTCATTTTTTAATACAATACAGTTTGCTTTAAAACAAAAATAAAAAAAAACAAGAAAAAAAAACAACCTCAAACACACACCAACAACACGTGTTTATGATGTTAGCAATAAAATGGACTTCTCCCTTATTAACGGAGATCATAATCAGGTTTTTTTTACTTTGAATATTCTTCTGTTGCCACGTTGTAATCGGTAAAGTGGTCTTACGCTGAATTCGGAAGGCATGGATTCGAGACACGATTGCTTATTGTACTAATAGATTATATTTTAGAATTGTTTACTGTCTATGAAATGTTTCAAGGTCCACCTCGGACTCCTGTCATTCATTTCCAAAGAGAAGTTGATACTGTGAGAAACACTGGTACCGTTAAATTCCCTCCGCTTTAATTGAAATACTGTTGAAAGCGGCGTTAAACCCAATATTAAAAAATAAGAAAATATTAAACATAAAATGCATAGTTCATTATTTTCATAGGCTCTACATAGCACTGCATTATGTGCAGACAAAAAACGAGCTTCTCCCACAACCATATTCTCAAAAATTGAGGATCCTACATGGTCTTCAATACAAGGGAATCTGTATTTAATATGCAAAATTCTCCGCTTCTGAACATACAAAA